TATCAGAAAAAGCTCCTTTCAATAGGAATGTACGTTGGAAGTCATTTTAACAAGGGCGCAATCACCAAGTATTTCCCAGAACAGATTTGCATTTGATTGCTATGAACAGAAACCAGTCTGGACAGTATATGGGAAAAATATATTTAGATACAAATATTCTGACTGTATCCCTTTTGCCAAAGACTTGAGCATTTTGGATGTTCATTGTTTTGTGATGTCATCAAAGTGTAGAAGACTTCTTTTGCTTGTGTACTGTTTTAAGTACATAACTTATGTATATAGTATGAAAAGAGTGCCATGCCATGTTTTTTATGCCTTCTCATTTTTGTTGTTAGGAATGAGGTTTACAGTGTGTAAGACTGCAGTATCCTTTTGTTTGAGACAATATTATGTGATTGTCATTCCTGTCAGATTGCCTCTTAAAAGAGAAAATATGGTCTAGAATCATATGTCAATAAGATTAAGTTGTTATTTATTTTTATACCGTAAGGCATATAGAGATCAGGCACATGTTATTTTTTCTGCTGTTTGTGCTTTGATATCTGATGCGACTGGCTGAGTTGATTAGATCAGTAATATAAATATCATCGGATGTAAGGATTTCGTATCTGGCTTCCATAACTGTATGTGCCTTGAGACCTTGTTGAGTGAACACAGATTGTTGACCCAAAGTTGCACGCTGTACAGAGTTTGTGCTAACCATGAAAGACATATTCCACCTCCACAATAATTCTTTCTATTTTAATGTATTTGCTAGATCCAGAAAGGGACTCCTAAAAAACAAAATGGCTGGGAAGGAAAATGAGATGATACCTGCTGTCTTTATCGTACCGTACACCTCACACTTTTGCATCAGAGAAACGTACTCCAACCCACATTGGATAGGAATGTCCTCGCAAACAATTTACAGGAGAACTGATCGTCACATTTGTCTCACTTGGAAACACTGGCTTCCTATAGCCTGAGTGTGATGTTCTTCCTGATAGTGTAACAGTTTTTCCCCCTATCTTTCTAGTTCCGTTGGTGACACATGCGGAAATTTATCATAAGAAATATGAAGTTATAGTCTTAGTCCCACACCTGTTTAGTTAGTAGCATTTTTTCTTATCCTTTCAGTATTCCATTTCTCCTTTTTTTTTTTTTTTTTTTTTTTTTTTTTTTTCCTTTTTTTTTCCTTTACATCTTCTATCCCTCCTCCTCCTCCTCCTTCTTCTTCCCCCCTCTGCCTCCTCCCCCCCTCTGCCCCCTCCCCCCTCTGCCCCCCCCCCTCTGCCTCCTCCTCCTCCTCCCACCTATCCCTTCTTAAGCTCTTGCTTAGGCATTTTTCTGTTGTTGTTGTGATAATATGTCATTTATTATCTAATTGTTGATGTGAAATGCAGGGAAGAAAGGACATAGAAAATGCTAAACATCATTCAATAAATGTTTATAATGATTTATAAATGTAATTTAAAATAGCAGTCTTGGTAAAATTCTAGTATTATTTAATATGAATTCTACAGTGAAAGATTTATATGAGCTAGAAAGTGGCATTAAATGATAATGTGCCTTGATTTTCTTCTTTTTCTTTTTTTAAAGGGCATTCAGTAAATACTGACATTTTTTGTGCTTTGTCAGTAGATCCACATTACTGACATTGATAACAGTGTTATTTATCACTGTTTGAAATTGATTATGATTTTGTAGATGGCCACGGTGCTACTTGCAGACACAGTTTTCAGAGAACAAATCTACTTTTACATAAACCTTTTGTACAAAGCCAACAGAAATTCCATAAGTGCCCTCCAGTGCCAGGTCAGTATATCCAACCCTCCAAAATATATTGGCCAGGGGAATATGTACACTTTTTTTGCAAGAGGTAGTTCTCTCTGGTAAATTTCCCTGTGAATGATAGAAGCCAACACTATAAGAATAGTGATCCATTTAGGATAGTTTTACAATGTGGATTTTCAGTCCATTGTATCAGCAAGGGATTTGTTTGGCTAGCACCTCCTTATAAGTGATATTTAACAGCTGAGACGATATGCATTATATTGAACTTTCCTCAGTGAAATATGACAGAATTGTAAAACATATATTTTACGATTTGGCCTCTTGAGTCCTTTACAATCTCATAAGTGCTAAAGAAACAATACAAGCTACTAAAACTCCTTTTTTTTTTGTAAGTATTGCTTATATTGACAGTGATTCACTCTTTATTTCATACCATTGCATTGTACGGAACTTTCAGTGATATTTCATTTCATGTTACATATATGTATGTTGTGTGTCTCTATGTATGTGTGGACAAGGTAAAGAGATCTTTCAAAGGAACATCTCATGGACTCTTAATTTCCATGATCAAGGATGAAAATCAAGTACTTATTGGCATATATTTTTACTACATTTGTATCAAGTAATCATTGAAAATCCTCTGAACCTGTATGTAAAGTGTAACTTTTCTAAGTAACTGAATTCAGAATTTGTTTTTACAAAAGATGAAAATAAAACTGCTTTCAAA